TCTTTCCAACGGGCAGGAGAGAAATGGGGGTATAACTGCTCTCCCCTACTGGGTTCAAAGCCCCTTATGTGTAATTGAATATTCGAATTGACTTCACCTGCACGCACCCCAGTCTATTGCCTCTGATGTGTGCTTTATACAAATAATAAGCTTAAAACCTTTAACTGGTCTCTAATTTTTTTTTTCTCGTGTTCGCCGTGGCAGATGACCTCTTAGCCCCAAATTATTGATCTGTGTGCATGCTTCCGGTGTGATGTGCCAACACGAGACATCTCGGCTGAAAAGGTAACTTTAACGGTGAAAAATCCGGAAATGAAATCTAAGAGCAAGCCCTCCAGCTTGATTGCGCTCGGCAGGCGCCGGCGACAAAGGAGCGCGGGCTGGCGCGCACGGGTGTGCGCCGGGAGGAGCGGGGACCCCTGGACACTGCTTGACGGAACCGTTGCGGTTTCAGCCTCCAGGGGTGAACTCGGGAGAGAGGAGATCACGACCTTTTGGCAAACGATGCTCTCAGGGATATTCTACTGCTTCGATTTGGAGGGGGAAGGGAAAGACCTCCAGGAAAGGCATTTCAAGAGTTAGGAGGCAGGTGGGTGCGAGATAGGCACAAGTAAAACTGGTTCGTCGGTTTGTTCCCCCAGGATTTTAGAAAGGAAGCAAATGTATTTGGTTAATAAATAGTTTACTTTCTCTCATATGACTTTCCCCAGGCAAAGGGAGACGTTGGGATGAATGGTTCTCTGCGTGCCTGCTGGTCTGCTCACCCCATGCAGTTTTCTTTCTTCTCATTCCTTCACAGACCATCAGAGGGTGAGAGCATTTTCTAAAATTCACTCGTGGATCCGCTATATGGGCCGGTCAGATGGACTTATAAGAATTGAGAAGGCTGCTGGTTCAGAACTGACCGCCTAATGGCCAAGGAGTCACACTGGTCCATCTTCCCTCACTACACAGGAGTTTGGGGACTTTTTGGAAGGGTGTTTAAAAACAGGGGAGACTCGATGCCCCACCTTCTCTGAACAGTGCAACAACACTTCCCAAAGTAAATTATTCAGGCTCCTATGGGAGATCAAATTGTAGCTCCAACTAATTATGGAGAACAGTGATGGGACAGTTAGAAGCTCAGCATTTTGAAGCCTGTACGCTTTTCTTTCAACTTGACATATATTTAAAAGTAACCTTTCCCTTCTTTTGGTGTGTCGCTGATGGAAAATCCAAGGTAGCATTGTCTTGTGTGCTGACTTTTGCCAAGTCTCACTTTCTCCCTTTCAGATACACTGAAGGATTAAAACTAAGGACCTGAGCCCTAACCTCCTTCATTCTCATTTACCATCACCCCTCCAAATCTTTGTCTTTCGCATTTCCTGACCATTGTGAAGAAGCTGTGCCCTTTCCTTGGGCAACCAGAGGGGGGAAAAGGAATTGGCCTTTAGTGCCTGATTGTCCTGAAGGTGTGGAACCCTTTCTCCAAATTGAATGGGGTAAAGGAATGGAACAGGCTTGCCCTCACATAATCAGGGTCTCAACTTTTTCCACAAATTATCCATCCTTGAAGGTCCCGAGTATACTGGCAAATAACCAAATAATCGGAAACAAGGAAAAGGGTAGTGGGCATTTTATATTTACAAAAAATGTGCAGAGCAGTCTGACTGAGAGACTTTTCTAAAGTCCTTTGGCCCTGGGGTGGTCATAGTCCATCGTGGATCTCTGCACCTGTCTCTCTGTGGAGAAATATTGGGAAGAAGTTTCTCCCCACTGTGTTTTGTTGCAGGTCTCAGGACCACTCATTTCCGTGATTATGTACTTGCCTTGAGAGAGCCTGGGACCTCTGGCCGAGTCAAAGAAACCTGCCTGAGTCCTAGTCTCAGGGAGTCTCTATCTATCTAGTTCGTCTTTCTTTTCTTCCTTCCTTCCTTCCTTCCTTCCTTCCTTCCTTCCTTCCTTCCTTCCTTCCTTTCTTTCTGAGACCTTGGACTTACTTGCTTCCAAAGTGGTTCCCTAGCTAATATAAGTTAAACATTTCAACTCTCAAATAGGAGGCTCTCCCTTAGATTTTTTTTTCTTGAGGTTCTCAAGGAAAATTGCCATTGCCACAATGTTATGATGGAAGGATGCTGAAGTGACAGGCCTAGTAGACGCTTGTCTTAATCATCGGCTTCTTAATTTAGTTTTATATATATATATATATATATGCCCCCCCCCGGGGATGTTGAGGGTGCGCGCGTGCAGAGTGCAGCCGCCTGACAACCTGCAGCTCCCTAATGAGTGATGAGGCAGGGCTGCTGCAGAAAAGTAACACTTCCCTGGTGTGAAGACCTCTTACTGAGAAGTTTAGTTCACTACTGTTCTCGCAAACCTAATCTTATAACCTGTAACCAAAACCCACAGAACAAGGATACAACACGCTAAAGAGTAATTTATGATCACTAAATGTTAGCACCATTACCTGCTGTTAGGAAGGGATTACAGAGACGTTGGCTCAAATGGGGGCGACCTTTCTTGTTACAGGATCTCTGGAAATACCTGGGTGCCTCTGCATGGGTTCCACTCGCTCCCACACGTCACCGGGTCAGGGACTCCCTGAGCATCTGCAGGAAGAGAGCTTGAGCTAGAGCTGGACGCTGGGCTCCCCTTCAGGGATACCCTATCCAGGGAGCTGAGTGCAGGGTGGGTTTTAGGTAGGAATGACTTGCCCTCCTTTAACAAGCAGGTAACAAGGAAAAAAGAAGGGAAGCACGGAAAGCTGGAAATAGGCCCCAAGGAAGACAATGCATCACGGCCAAATAGAAAAAGTAACGCCGTGCACCCTACTGGGATGCAATAGGCTGTGGAGCCTTGGTTATTCTTTACAACTAGAAACGGAATAATCTAACTCATTTCCCAAGCAATTCTTCCCTTGGAACTGCTCACTGAGTCTGTCTTTCCTTTTGGTGGGGTGGGGGGAGGCGGTAGCCAGAGAAGGAAAAGTTCACCACTATATATACCAGAAAATTACATTGGCTCTGACCTATGCTTTGATTCATTAACAAGGTGCATTTGTAGATGTATGTGTGTGAGCTCAAAATTAAGCTGCTGATGAAAAAAAATATTAGAATGATATAGAATTTGTTTCAGATCTGAGACCACTAGGTGCCCTTTGTCTTTTGACAACAATCACCCTGACTGAGTGAGGTGGAAATACAAAGTCAGGGCTTTGTGTGTTTAGGAAAGAAGCCCGAAGTGGACAGTCCCTCAAATGGGCAGTCCCTCAAATCCAGTTTGCACCCAAACTGTTCAGTAAGATAGACAAAGCTTCATCCAGGGACTTTCAACTTGCAAAATACTCTGTCCAAGAACCCCCTCCCCCTCCATTTCATCTAGTAGCAGTTCTAAAAAGAAGCCATTGCTGAGACAAATGTGGGCTGCTGGGTAAACAGTGCATGTTTTGTTCAACAAGCCTACCCCCACACCTATATATGGCACTCTATCTCACTACAAAGTCCAATTAAAATTATTAACAGGAACTCAAGCTCACTTCACCCAAAATTGCAAATGACCTTTTTCATTAGGGAGCCCAGATCTTTAATATGATCATAGTAAACTATAATCTATGTATTCCTACACAAATATCCTATTTTGGGAGACTTGCATTCATGCAATCCTTAAAATAATATAACACATTCTTAATATGCATGCAAAACATTTTTTCCAGTCCATATAAGCTCCTGGCACATAAAATCAGGTTAGTACAGCTCTCATTGGCAGACTCCAGTTCTTGCTGTTTGAAAGTAAACAGAAGAAAAACTTATTTCCACCTGCTAAAATTTCACGCAGGATTACAAAAACAACGCACACCCAGCTTTGACCTAAGAAACACCTTCAAACATTAAAAATTCATCAGTCAGGGCTGGTGGTTGATTCAAGGAATGCTCCTCCACTTTGCTGCTGAGCTTGGATTGGAATAAAATGCCCAATGTTAACAAACAATGCCCACGTTTGGCACTTTGTGTATTAAATTGATCAAACAGATTTTAGGAAGCACAATGCACAATTTGTACAGACCTGATTGAGTTAATATAATATCAGCAAATTTTACATCGAAATGATTCTGTTTCTTTTCTTTGTGTTTAAAACCAGCACAGATTACAAATTTTAATGATCTGAAAATGTTTGGTATACAAAATCATGCTTATTTCAGTATTAGCAAAAACACAAGAAATTTTTCAACACAAACACCCAGCTGTGTCTATTTTAAAAGCAGTTCAATGACAGCTTGCACTTATGAGCATGCAATCAGCTAATTTCGCTTTTTTTTTTCTTCTGTGTTAATCAACACTTTCCTTCCTGCATATCAGAGTACAAATAGTATAGTTACTCCACATCAGTAAATGTTTACGTAACCTGTCCTTTCCCAAGAATCCGGTTACACCGAATCATTTCACGCTAGACCGACTACGAAAACGTACCGGGCGTCCACCTCAGAGGGAGCCCTTGTGTGCCATTATAAGTGGCGCTGGGAAGGGGGGCTGTGGGAGGGGGAGAGAAACGGGGAGTAGGTGGAGGAATGGAGAGAGGGAGAGAAACGGAGGAGAAGGGGTGGGGGAGTGAGGAGGGAGGTGGCAGAGGGGAGGAGGGAGGAAAGCCAGTTGAGGAAAAGTAGGAATAACAAGCCCGAGGAGGGGAGAAGAGTGGGAGGAGGAAAAGTGAGCAGGAAAACCAAGGCCCAGAGATCTCTCCAGCCTGGTCCAAAAAGCCCACTAGCTCACCGGGCTCCTGTACGACATCTGAGCTTAGAAGTCAATGTTGGGGGCCCTGTCACTATCAATGTTGATAGCTGAAACCTCACGTGTAAATATCGTTTGTTTTAAAGTAAGAAAATATGTAGAAATCGGGGTTGGGGAAAAATACATACATACAGCGGAAGGATAGTTAAGGTTAGTACAATGCCCAAAGCTCCTTTATGGCATTCCTAATAGAAACATATTTAGAAATCACTACCAATTTTGTAACTGTCTATTTTTCCCTTCAGAGTTGATTCCCTCAGAATTTCAAGGTGAGGGTGGGGTGCCAAGAGTGGAGACTCCCCATGACCCTGAACGTTCATTAATTGCATTCTTTACATTAGAACTGAAATTTCACACCACATCGTTTTATTCTTCCTTCGTTTTCTTAAATACCACATCTGCCAGATTATCTGAGAGCTCCTCAAAGTGATGTTTACACTTTATGGTTCTTTACCTTACAGAGGAGGGGGAAAAAAGGTGCTTATTCATTTATACTTCCCCTCCACCTCCCTCTTCTCTCAGCCTACATCCTCCGTAGAAGGGGTATGTTTCGTGCCCATGTGGGATGAAACAGCCTTTGATCAGTGTGCTCCGAACCAAATTCCAATCCCTGGGAAATGCCGGGCCTTAGCCCTGCCCCTGGCCACGGGATCCTTTTAAAGCCCCCGAATCACCATCTCCCCTCTCACTTCAGCCCTCAGCCGCACCTCCCAGCCCCAGTGCCCAAGAGGCTGGGATGGTGGGGTGCACACTCCCGAAGCTCCTTGGCGCCTTCCAGCAGCATGAAGAGGGGGAAAGGGCTGCTCCAGCACGCGGTTATTTGGGGGTGAAGGCTCGCCCCAATGAAAAGCATGTCAGAAAAGGAAAGAGAAGAGTGAAAATAGGGAGGCTTTAAAAAACCGGAAAGAAATAGACGCCCATCCTTATTTCCCCTCCAATGTCAACAAGCGAAATGAAAACATTTCCAGGGTGATCGCAAGCGCCTACTCGCTTCCCAGCCGGATCAGAAGCGGAGGAGACGCTGGAGCGGCGAGGAGACGGCGACGAGTCACCCGGCGCGTGAGCGACGGCCCGGAGCCGGACGGAAGGGGAAGGAAGAGACGCACGAGCAGAGCGTGTGTTACCTGGTTTATTTCGAGATGGGCATTGCGTTCTCTCTGCACATCCCGCCCTGCGGAAGGCCATCCTAGGCGCCCGCCATCTAAGGAGGACTAATATACAAAATCAAAAGATTCTCAATCTGTACTAGTTTACACAAAATGTTGAATTGGAAGTTGACTTTGTGCACTCCTTTACCAGGGAGTGGGGGGCTGACCTGGTTAATCCAAACCACAGCACTGACAAATGATTACTCCAGTCA